GTATGCATGGAGGCAGACGGGGGGGGGGGGGGGGTTTCAGACTCCGTGTGCAAGTAAATTTGAGTGTCGTCCGCATAGCAATGGACTTCAGGTCGATATTTCGGAGCAAATGACCAAGTGGGACCATATAAATACAAAAGAGAACAGGGCGAAGAACTGAATCTTGAGGAACCCCAAATGAAACAGGGTTAGGAGCAGATTTAAAATCTCCCCTGGATACGAACTGTTCCTGATTAGCTAGATAAGATCTGAACCAACGGAGAGCAGTTCCTGAAACCCCCGTGATGCTTTCCAAGCGATCAGTCAAGCTGTCACTTAGATGGCTTCAAAGGCTTGAACTCAGATCTAGAAAAGCGAGAATACTGGACGGAGAAGAGTCAGCAGCGATCAAAAGGTCGTTCACCACTTTAACCAAAGCTGTCTCAGTGCTGTGTCCGGCGCTGAACTCAGACTGGAATGGATCCAGCAAGCCATTAGAATGCAGATGGTGGTTCAACTGCAAGGCAACCAGGCGACCTTGGATAGGAAGGGTAGATTGGAGATTGGGCAATAATAATTTGGAACTTAGGAATCAAGGGCAGTCTTTTTCAGGAGAGGGGGAACAGCTGCAAGTTTTAGGGTGGAAGGGACAATACCGGAATTGAGAGATTGATTCAAAATGTTGGTTACAAATGGGCAGAGGAAATAGAAATTTTCTTGAATTAATTTGGTAGGGAAGGGATAGAGTGAACAAAACGTGGGTCGGGACTGAGCCACCAAATCAGAAATGGTTGATGGGGCAACCTTGAACAATTCTGATAATGGAGTCCCAAGGAATGGCGGGGAAATTTTTGGAATAAGGGCAGGGGAAGGAGATGAGGTAAGTCCGAGTCTCTTTACTTATCGTGTGTGAATTTACATAAACATACAGTATCTACACAGTACCTATCCAATGTACCGTATAAGTATCATCCAAATTAAGTTAGAAATCGTGCAGCTCTCATCTCAAAGGGCCAGCCTCTAGCCAGTGGTGGTAATTCCACATTACCATGGTGGAGATCAGTTTCCATCATATGACCACTGTTAACTCACAAAAACCCTCACAGAGTAACCACGAACCAGGATTGTAACTCGCAAGCACTCTAACCACGTAAAGTACAGAATGGCCCAAATATTACACCAACCTAAGACACTGCTCCGTTATAGTAACATTTTGGCTACTTAATTTGGGCTACCATGCATTACTTTTTTGACCATTAGAAACTTGATTTCACATGCTTGATAAAAAAAAATGCTTGGGTTACATCGCGTAAATGTGTCGTAAACCTACCTCCACCCGACAAAGCCAATTAGAGTAAGCTTTGCCACGTGAACAGAACGGGCAAATGTATTACTACTTCAGCACCACCTGTGTGTTGGAGATCAATCCCACAACATGGACAATTAAGTAAGATTTTTTTTGCTGGTGATTACAACCAGCATCATCAGGCATTTGTCCCAAATGTGAAGGTGTCCTCCAAGACACATTGGCAGTGACGAGATCTAACCCATGAACGTTATCATGAATCTATATTGGTCGTGAAACCCTACGTTTTACAATTAATTGATCATGTTCTAATATGACAAAAATATTCAGAACTTCTGAAATATATACAATAGTTACATACCTTTGCTCAAAGAGAAGCATTTGCTGCAAACACAATTGGAGACAACATTCGTGTGCTGTGTCGAAATACATTTTTTGAAAGCAGTGTGCAACATGCCACTGTCAAAACGCATCGCTTGGACAAACTCAATTGTAAGGAGTGCAGTTTGAAATAAATGCTTTGGCTACTTTAGTACGCCAGAAATTTGTTTTTGTTACACAAAACCTTTCAGTGATTTTAGTTTCCGAGTGCATGTGTACCGATATCACTTTATCTTGATGCTGATAAGTGGCGGTCAGTAGGCCACCGCGCAAATGAGCCAATATCCCCTCCAACGCAAGAATATCCACACTACCCACTCCGGTATTCCATCGTGCTGCTTGGCGTGCGACGCACAATTACTTCACGCCCTAACGTGAATAACCGCAGTGACAATTACCGACCGAAATGAACAAAATGCGCCGCCGTTTTAATTCAAAATTACGGCCACCCGCCCTCTGGGTGTAAACTCCTCCAAGAGGGGCGGAGTGTGGGGATCTAGAAGACCGGGCTCAACCTGCCACCCGTCTGGGCCGCAGCGAGACACAGCGTGCTCAGCGGAGCAGCAAGACACAAATTGGTTTTGTGTGATGAATTATGAGTGAATGACAAAGACAAAGATCCCCCGTGTAGCCTTCAACAGACTGTTGGGGGTACGTGCCGTTGGAGAGCACCTATGGAGGTGGAGGCGGGGGGGGCAGCCCCAGGCACGGCCACCTTTGTCTCCCCAGTGGTGATGCTTAAACATTACACCAGGTACTCATTTACAGGCTGGGTCGACCTTGGGGAGGCCCTGGATAGGTTGATAAATTCTGCGCTGTTATTTGTCATGAGCAAGAATCAAACTCGGGCTGCCGGATTCTGTTGCACTAACCGGAACCCTACTACTCCCCCTGAACGACACACAAATTAACTTGAATTTTTTTTAGAACAGTGGCAAATACTCGGTGACAGCTATAAATGGCAATTCAAGAAGTCATTATTTTTTCAAAGTATTAATTAAGCAAAAATTAGCAGGTATTATGCCAATGCTGTTTATTGGATTGAATGTCATAATATTATGCAGACATTCACCCCTCCCCCCCGCCCCCCTAAGATGTTCATGTTAATCCATGTGCCGCATGTACTGGAGAATTTACAATAATGCAACCCATTTTCTGTTATATAAAAAGATGAAATATTGAAATACTTCACATTCTTCAAACAGATGTATGGCGTTGTACAAATTCACTTAGGACTTAATATTTTATTAACTTCGTTCGTCCTTCTGACCAATATGTAAATTAAAGTAAAAATGTACCTGTGGTGTCTTATGCAACTGTGCATGGATATAAAGTAGACAACATCTGGCAAGCGCGGCAGGCTTTGTCTGACGAAAGTGCTCACTATTGCTCAGCACGTTCAGCAATCGAGACTGTGTGTCACGGGCAAATGAGGCTCCCTCTGGGGAGCCAAAAGGTCACCTGCACATACAAGGGCACATCAGTGTGCAGAGTCGCCCTGGGGTAGAGTGGACAGCGAGTAGTGTGCAAAGCACCGAGTGAACGTTATCACAGCACGTGCCTGCGCGTGCGTGTGTGGTGTGTAGTGTGGTGTGTAGTGTGCGTCCGCGTGTTGCGTGTGCGTCACCCGGCTTGGACATGACTGGAAACAGAGTGGCAGTCACGTTCTGCCTTTCGTCTCTGAGTTCAAGCGCTGCTCGAGTTGAAGTGATATTGTATGATGCGCAACAGTGTTGGTCACAAACTGTGACATTCTTATCCCGCGGGTGTGTTAACTATGAATGTATGTGCAGTCTGCTTCACAGTGGAGTGGATGTTACATATATATAAATGACGTTATGTGCAAGACTAGGTCATCGTGTGCCGACGGCATGGGCCAAGCCTGCCAAATTGTAAAAAAAAATAGCCCGCAAAATTACGTAATAGGAAACATACAGAGAAATCGCCACTCCCTGCCGCAAAACACTTGGCAGGATCCTCCTGAAACATAGTCATGAGATTCGGTCGGTGAGGCTCTCCGGGGTAAAACAGCTTAATAATATGATCTGTTATTGATGCCGCAGCGTTTGAAGTTTCCTGTTCATTGTTGCATGTGGTTTAGTTTCTAGACTATGTAGCAATCGTGTGGTTCCATGGCTCGAGAAGTGTTAAAACATTGCCGTTTGGTAAACGTGTCAAACATGTTCACCCACCGTTGCATACAAATTTGCATTTTTATAGTCTTGGAAAATGAGGAAGCTGCCAAAAGAAAATGCGAAGTTTGCTCAATCAAATGTTTAAAAGGGTAAATAGGGAAAATGGCATCAAAGTATGAAGGGGGGAATACATGTATAGCAATGCATATTCTGTATAAATAAAATATACAATTTCAAATTGTTATCTGTTGAAGAAGGAATAATGAGATGACTTCTCGATGGCATGTATTTTCAAAGGCTAAGGAAATAATTAGGCATCGCCAGAGGGAGAAGGCAGTGTTTTTTTTGGTAAAGCCAATGGTACTGTAGTCATCATGGCTGAGAAACAGGGCACAGCAACACAGCAGCTTTGTTGCCGTCGGTGCCCACACATTTGTCACGTGACGTATTATTATCATTATTTATTGTTACGCTTGTTTACTCAGGAAAGGCTCACCGAATCTCGAGACTCTTTTTCAGGAGGACCCTTCTGGGTTCTCACAGAAGGTAACAACGATCGCCATGCTTTTACAAATCACCTAATGCTTCAGCACACAGCGGCCTACTCGTTTCGAACGTTAACGGAACCACTAATGGCTGCTGTTGAAGCAGAATGCGGATTTTGTAAGTAAAAACTATAAACTAAACTATTTTTTTTATTTTACCAGCGAAGGCCCACTGAGCTATGTAGCTCTTTTTTCTGACGCGACCTAGCCACAAATGATAGCCCAACGAAGTGGTTAATGACGTGGAAATGTATAGCTCTCAACGCATATTCATTCTAAATATGGAGGGGAAAACCGGAGGACCTGGAGAAAAATCCACGCGACCACCACGGGGAGAGACACGCAGACTCCAAATATACAGCAGCAGGCGTCAGCGTCGGGCTGGAACCCACAACCTCCTGTATACCTGGCGAGGTGCTTAACATCTCCTAGCCACCGTGATGATGACGAGAGAGAGAGAGAGAGACACACACAAACTCCAAAAATGCAGCATGCCTCAGGGTTGGGATCGAACCCACGACCTCCTGCATACCAGGCGAGCGACGTAACATCTCGCCACCGCGAACTCATTAACCGAGGCGCGGCTTGCCGAAATGTAACCACGAAAGCTCCGTAGCGAGCGGCGAGCGCGGCGCCACGTCTCAAGCCACTCACAGACATCGGCGGCTTCATCCGAGCCATCGGGGCAGTCGTCATCGCCATCGCACATCCACCCCAGGGAGATGCACGTCCGCCCGTTTTTGCACGTGAACTGCATGGTGCTGCAGGTTTTGGAGGCTGAAGAACACAACACCGACAGCGTGAAATACAATCAGAACCCATCCTATAAGTGACATCTTCATAGCACCTGCAAGACACAAAGGATGCTATTGACAATGTTTCCAATTTTTGGTTAAGTTGATTCGATGTGTTACACGGATGGTCGCGTTTAGCGAGATGCCTGGCTATTTTGCACGGGAGGTCCCATGGTAACGTGAGCATAGCAACAGCAAGACAAAGACAAAAACGTCAATATTTCAGAGAACGAAATAAATGGCCCCAAAACACATCAAGTACAAAAAAACTCCAGCGCAGTCTTCGAGATAGTCTGGTCCCTTCACCTGATGAAGGCCGCTTGTGTTGTGGCCGAAACGTCGTGATTTTTGTTGTTTTATTTTTTTACCTACGTGACTTTACCGAATAGAACCAAAGAGTATGGATCCTTGCAGTCACGAAAGCTTCAAATCTAGAACTATGAACGGTAAACAAATCCCGATTTGAATAGAAAGGTGATGTTCTGCAAAACAAATGCTGCTCAAATGAATACCACTGTAAAAAGCCAGTGGAGTTACAGACTCAAAATATGATTTTGTTTGTCCGCACGGACAGAGTGGACCTTTGATTATATTTGCTTTTACCCATGATGCTCCATGGCAATACGCAATGAATTTGCGTACAATCATTCCTTCAAGGCCGTGTTTGGTGTCATGTTGACACGTACGGTGTTGTACATACTATATGCACAACCCACACTAGCACATCACACAATTCGCAGGAAATTAAAATGCCTGAGGACATTCAAACCCAAATGGACTAAGTGGACCGGCAATGGTGAGACACACGAGTGAAAAACCTGTGATGGATCATTTTGTTACGGACACAGACAATGAGTTAAGGACTAACATGCCAAACTCCAGAAGTGGGGAGGTGTACGCCCATCGGTAGAGTGTGTGTGCATTCCAGAGTTACCGTGGCAGTACCACAGTAAAAATGACAGGAGCCGATATGCAATGCACAATTATGACACCTTTAAGTCGAGTCCCGGCCAGCATTATGCAAACTCCACAATATAGCATGTGTATTCATGGCTTGATTGCAACGAGGATGACGCTACGTCACACACAATTACAGCAAATCAATATACCTAGGTATGGCCTTAGATGTTCCGGAAATAACCAACTCGGTTCCCACCAGGCACTGGGCCGAGTGGTAGAGTGAGGGGCTCACAGTCGGAAGGTTGTGGAGTACACGTCCCAGTTTGGGGGGGGGGGGGGGGGGTATGGTGGGGGGGGGGGGGTTGACTCGGCCCATTACCCCTCTGAGGGCAATAAAATGGGCACCAATTTGTGGGGAGGTCAAGGTTCACCCCTCCCCCCAGCCCGCCAATGAAATGTGAAATTCCCCCCGCCACTGTCTCGGGGCTGTGAACGGGAGATGATAAGCAACGCATCATCGCCCGCTTAATAACAAACAAAACAATCGCTCAATTTGCAAAGCGCCTTTCATCGACGATCTCAAAGCGCCGCACGAGATACAGCGGCAAATAAAAGTAAGTCGTGAAACAACAAAATCATCTATATATAGTTCAAAATAAGTGGAAGCGTAGAGATACGAATGAAGATGTGTTTAAAAATAGCCACAGACTTAACACAAGCTTTCCAGAGTATGGGGGAGCCACGCGGGAAAATGCTCAGTCGCCTATTGACCGAATCCTCGACCTAGGATCATAGAGAAGATGTACATGCCCAGATCCTCGAGGCATTTAGGGGACATGTGGGTGCCTCTGGAGTAGGCTGAGAGAAGGTGGTCCAGAGTGTTTTGAGCTAGTGAAAGGATTTTGAATTGAAGCATTTGAAATTGCAGAAGCCAGTTACACATACAAGCCAGGAAGAAATAACACGAACTTGACGAATGTTCAACACATGAATGTCCTAATGAGGACTTCGCCTATGTTGCCATGGCTCCATCGTATGCCTCCAAATTGTCATCATACGTTGTATTACTTAGACCCCCGAGGACTCTGTAACGCCACGTACCTCCACCTCGACATCCAGACACGCAATTATACCGAGAAAGAAAAATGTTCATCATAATTTTGCACACGTAAGTTCATTTAATGATAGGGAAATGCATCTGTAAAAAAATAAATGATATTGTGACGTGACGAGAGCATGCAATTACGTTGTGCCTCCGAGGGCAGACAAAGGAAATATATATGTATATCGCAAGGGAAGCACTAAATACTAAACGCTGAATACAAGTCAGGCGTGGTGATGCACAGCTGAAATCCAGCACTGTAGGGACAAAGTTACTTTTACTCTTTATCTCCCTCCCACTCAATAGGAACCAGCCAAGTACCCCGACATTGCACTTTTCAAAATACAATTATTGAGTCCCAATGAGACTGGGGAAAGGAGATATATTATTATACGCAGACCTAGCAGATATCACTCTCCTGCCCCAGCCACCTACAACTCACCTAGCTTCTGCAAGAAGCCTGCTCATCTGCAAGAGGCAGACCTAAAAGCTACCGAGTGAAAGTTATGTACGGTGCGAAAGATGTTCAACATATATGCATACATACAAACATAGATATATTCTGCTTAACGTGTTGGTGATAGTTACAGTGCAAGTGCCGTGAGTGGAAATATTGGCAGAGAAACCAATCTGTGTATTAAGTTTGCAGGGGTAAACGTTACTAATGGATGTGGGATTAAGTGGCCTTCGACTCCTGGAAGTATAACTCATTCTTTTTTTCAACAGTCTTTACTCTACTTAACCAATGGCACGTGCTGCAGACCAGCTCTCATAAATTAAGGTGGAGAGAAGAAATCAATGGCCCTAGACACGTTGGGGATGATGATTTCTATCACGGTACCGAAGAAAAATCCAGCCGGGTGGTGCTGTGGTTCCTGCAATGTTCACAATCATAAGGTTGTGGCCTCTCGTCATGGTCAAGGGTCAACCCGGCACCATAATTTCTGCACGATCCACACCATTGCCAATACACCATGGAGGGGAAAAAATACTTAATTATTGTCCAATTTGAAAGAAAGACCTCTGCCACGGGATGTGCGATTTTTGTTACCTTCTGATTCAGGGCTGTGAACAAAGATGCGTGCTGGCCTAGGTGCCTGTTCGAGCAGAGAGACACCGTGGAGTTTGAATGACGGAAGAGGACATGTTCATCAATCAATCAATCAATATCAGGTCGCTTTTCCGAACTGAATCGGGTTGCTAGGACAGCGACTCCACCAAGGCCCTTCCTCCATCCTGCCCTGTCCTCCGCCAGCAACATCAACTGTGGCTCCATGATCTGCGGTTTCTCCTCGGCTAGGCGCACCACCCCGGTCTATCCAGCACGATCGCGAGCGGCCTCTGGGTCTTTTGCCTGGGGGACGTCCTTCGAACCTCTCCCGGGGAGGAGTCTTTCTTTCGGCATCCTTAGCAGATGACTCATCCATCGTAGCTGGCTTCGTTCCACGCTCAATAGTGCCGACTGGACGTCGAGTCTCTGGCGGATAGCCATGCTTCTCACCCGATCCCAGAGAGAGAGCCCTGCCACCCTGCGCAGGAAGCCCATTTCTGTAGCTTGCACCCTTGAGCGCGTCCTTCCCATCAGGATCCATGTTTCATGGCGGTGTTTATCGAAAAGCAATTTCATATCTCCATTGAAATGCAGATTTTAATGGGACTTTGAGTTTTATGCAGATCTCAGTCTGTTTGCAACACAAATTCCATCTTTATAAATATGCAAAGCCGTCCAATTAGAGTTTCAAAGTATCTCCGTCTCACTGATAATGTATCACCATAATTCCCCTTTGTCTGTCTCCTTGTTTCTGTGTGTGTGTCAAAACTAAACTTTCAATTTGGCCAGGTAAGGCCCACTGAGCTAAATAACTGTTTTTTCAGAAGCAACCTGGCCACAACAAAGTGGCTTATCAGGTGGACATTTATAACAGCCAAAAACTCAAAAATCATGTTTCTAAAATGTGGAGGGAAAACCCTCTAAGAAAAATCCACGCGACCACGAGGAGAACAGGCACACTCCAAATATGCAGGCGTCCGGGTTGGGATCAAACCCACAACCTCCTGCACACCAGGCGAGGTAGTTAACATTTCGCCACCGCGGTGCCCCTGGGGCACCCCCCTTTCCACAGTTAGTGTTGAGGCGGCTCTCTGTGTGGGATGGACAGGGATCAGCCCAAATCCTAATGAATTTGATGCAGTGCAATATCGCTGTATAACATAGCAATTGAACTTCATGGCTGCAAAAAATGAATTATGCATCTGTGTCCTAGCACAAGAAAGCATCGCAAATATTGATTTAAAGCTTTCGTGACTGCAGGGATTCATATTATTGGTTCTTTCGGTAAAGTCAAGTAGAAGGGAAACAATAAAATAATACAAATATAAAACAATAAAATTCTCACGACGTTTCGACTGCAACACAAGCAATCATCATCAGGTGTGAAAACCACGGCAAGAAAATTTGAAAAAAAAGTGGCGGTTTTTTTAACGTTAGCACCACGGAGAGCGATTTGGCAGTTATTCAGATGGACGAGTTCGTCTATGTTCGGAAAAGAGGGGGGAGACTAAAATAATGGATGCGGTCTGAAAGCCACTGTAAGCGTGAACAATCAATATAGAGCCGAAATGGTTTATCAAATCCTTCCAATGATTGCTAAGCCAGAATCCATCTTCTCGGTTGAAATTGTCTCTGTGTATATGTGGAGAGCCTCATGAACGAATCTCTCATGGTAGCCAGATGGCTTGCAAAGAACATCTGTCTTGGAGAAGTCAATGTCATGTGAGCCTACTGAATTATAACAGTGATCTGCCACTGCCGAGGTGTTGGTCCTACCGTGTTTTAGGTCTGCTTTGTGTTCACGAATGCGGTCCGAGACATGTCGCTTGGCTACCATGAGAGATTCGTTCATGAGGCTATCCACATATACATATACAAACACAGAGACAATTTCAACCGAGAAGATGGATTCTGGCTTAGGAATCATTGG